AAAGTACTAAAATTATCTTTGAATTTTAATTTTTAGTTCTAAAAATAATACTAATTTATTTCTTAAACTTTAAAGATAAGTATCAACTTAATTTTTGAACTTTTGATTACAAATAGTAATTTAGTTTTTTAACTTTAATTATATATCAACCTAATTTATAAATAGAAATATGTCAAGATGATAAAATATGATGATTTAACTTTATACATTATTAGTATTTTCAAAAAATTAATTTTACTATAAAATAAAAAATTATATGACATTTTTATTAACAAAAAGATATAAAAAAAATAAGTGTAAAAGTGGAAAAGAGAAAAAAATAAAGAATAAAGAAAGAAAGAAAGAAGATACTTAAAAATAGAAATAAAATGAGAATAGATCCTAACCATTTATAGTGGATGGATTAGGTGGTTGGAATTTTATGTAAAAGTACCAAAAACTTAAATAATTCAATAATAATCTCTTTTTTAGAAAATAAAAGATTTTAAATTTAAATCATAAGAAATATAGGTAAAGTAAGATATGAGATAAAAATAGTTGTCATTTCTTATTATGCAGCTAAAATTATAAAAAAAAAAAGAAAAAAGAAAAGAATTGTATGTAAAAGTTGAATGTAACAAAAATGTGTAAATGGTTCTTACCTCTTCTAAATAATAGCTGCAGCAACATAATTAATTCATAGCTACAACAAGCAGCCATAAACAAAAAACGTGCGTCATGCCCGTGACATGGCCCATAAGAAACTACATAAAAGTGGGATCAAGAGAAAGGTAAACCTGTACAAATCACTCTATAAATCATAGTTTTAAAAATCAAACTAGATCAATTAGCCGAATCGCTCGGATCAATACCTAATAGCTTAAATAGATTGGGTGAATGCTTAAAATTGTTATAAAGGTTAAATCGCTCATAATTGATAGAATTGTTTAAATCGGTACAAATTATTAAACCAGACGATTCAATACTTTTGAGAAAATTTCTTTAAATTTGCCATCTCCAAGGTTTAACGCATGACTTCAAGTAGATTTTCAATAACTTTTGCAACTAGAGCATCACCTTTGGAATTGAGTTTTATGCATAAAATTTTATTTCTTTTTTTTTTTTTAAGAAGAAAAGAATTAAAAAAATCATTCAACAAATCGAACTTTCCTTCAACTTTATCAAGTTCCTCCATCCAATATGAAAAGAAGTATTATTAACTTTTATATTAAAATTAACGTAAATTTTGTTTAATATA